AGTGGGAGGTAGGGGGATTAGTTTCCCTCAAATCTGCCACGCTTTGTGTTTTAATTTTGATAAGGCTTTTGAAGGTGGCTTTCCTTTACCACAAAAGAAAAAATGTGAAACAAATTTATGTATTCTTTACATACTCTATAATTTCATATCTGCTTATTAATACAATGATGAAAAGATTATTTCCAATTACCACTGTTTTCAGCCATTTTATTATATTTGTTTTTGTAAACTTTTTAATACCTAGGAACAATGACTAAGTGCATATAAAAGCACTTTTTAGGTAAATATGTCAGTTTGGTGCTTATCTTGCCCTTTTATGAGTGTGTGTATGTGTGTGTGTGTGAGAGAGAGAGACCAATGATTGAACCCAGGGGTACTCTACCGCTGAGCCTCATGCCTAGCCTTCTTTTTATTTTTGTATTTTGGGATAGGATTTTGCTGTGTTGCCAAGGGTGGCCTCCAGGCTGGCTTTGAATGGGTGATCCTCCTGTCTCAACTTTCCTAAATGCTGGGGTTTCAGGCATGTGCCAGTACACATACACCTTTATCCTTCCTCTTTAAACTAAGAATCTCCTTGAATGGAAGTTTTCAAGTTGCTGTTAGAACTTATTGTAAGGTTGCCAGACAAAATGCGGGACATCCAGTTAAATTTGAATTTCAGATAAATAACAGGTTACATTTTACTTTACTTGCCCAAAGTATTACATGGTGCATTGTTCATCTGAAATTTAGACTAATTGGGTAGCCTGTATTTTCTTTGCTGAGTTTGTAAATCATAGCTTCTAGAGAATTAGTTTGTGTCAAGACCAACCGAATCTGGATCTCATGCATTTCAATTATTTCATATTTTGATGACTTAAGCAAAGTAATCCCGGGTAGAATAGCCAACTGGATGTGTTACTTTTTATTGTTTTATTTTAAAGCAAGAATTCTTGATTCCTTCCTCTTCTTCCCACATTTTCCAATAAAAATAGCTCCTCTATACAATATAAGGCATTCATTATCTGCAAATCTGCATGTAGTGGGCCTCTCTTATCATTTGGTGGAGAAAAAGCTCATGAAGTTACTTCTTGTTGTTAAATAGCAAATGTTGACTTTGTGAATACCTGTTAAGGTTAAAAATTGTTGAGTTTTATGGTTCTGTGAACCAAGCTAGAAATACTTAAGTGCTACTTTATGTGAAGTGTATACTGTTGAGGAGGATGTAAACGTTGGCTAAGACTTTTGCTCTCAGATATCCTGCTATTTAGTCAAGGAGTTGGATATGTAAATAATTATAATATAATACAATGAACAATGATGATATTAGGTAAACAACTTGTTCTAAAAGTATTTGGATGAAAAATTGATTCAGAATGGGGATTACAGCAACTCCCTGGAATAGATGAAAAGTTTCAGTAGCTGAAAAAGATCTGGATAGATGCAGAGACTACAAAATAACTTGAGCAGAAGTCATGGAAAGGTTCATGTTTAAAAATTAGAGACAATGCTTATAATCAAACAGCTTCTTTAATGTAGGAAGTAAGATTGTAAAGGTAGTGAATTAGTCTTCTGGGGCTCTGTAATGAAGTACCATAAGATGTATGGGTTAAATAACAAACATTTATCACTTTAACAGTTCTGAAGGCTAGAATTTTGAAATCAGTGTGTTGGCTGATTTGATTCCTTCTAAGGGGTGCAAGTGCAGATTTCTTTGTCTCTCCCCTAGTTTCTAGTTTAATCATCCGTTGGCCTGTAGGTGGTGTTCTCTCTATACCTCTACATCATTTTCCCTTCACTTGTGTTTGCCACTGTCCAAATTTCCCTTCTTATAAGGAAAGGTATAGTCAGATTGGATTAGGGCTTATCCTGTATCATCATAACTTGATCATCTGCAAAGACCCTATTTCCATAAAGGACATATTTGTAGGTTGGGACTTGAGCTCTTTTTAGGGAGACGCAACTCAACCCACAATAGGTGGGGTGAGGGTTATATTCCAAAGAGTTGAAGCCATTGATTAGTACATTAACCTTGCCTTTTAGACAAATGGGGAAGTCATCAAAGCTTTTTCTTCGTGCAGAGAAGTAACAGGAGCAAACAGATTTGAAGACTATTGTTACAATATAATAACAGTCAACACTATATACTTTGTGGTAGATGCTGTGCTAAGTATTTTGTACATATTTTAGACTCTGAAATATGAATATTATAATTTCCTTTTTAAATATGAAAAAACTGAGGTTTAGAGATGAACAGAGTGGGTGAAAGGAAGAGGGAGAGATGCTAATCATTTGTTCCATTTAGACATGTTAAGCTTAAAGCGTTGGCTAAATATTCCTGTAATGATGGTAAGTTGGTAGTTTGGAATTTGGTGGTTCTGAGCCAGGCATGGAGGTACATTGCTTGTGTACTTAGATACTTGGGAGTCTGAGGCTGGAGGATAATGAGTTCAAGCCCAGCCTGAGCACAACATAGCCCTGACTGAAAAAAAAAGAATCTGAGTTTGGGTGATGGGTTAAAATGGAGGATAAATTCTCAGTAGTAATCAGCATAGAGATGCTGTTTGAAATCATAAGAATGGGGCTCTCCTGAGGAGGTAGGCTACAGTAGAATAGAATGGAGTATAAAAGATACATATGTACATTTTAAGAATAATTTTAGAAAAAGCCCACTATATAAATAAATAAATAAATAAATAGGAAAAAAAAAAGGAAAAGGCCCACTATCTATTATTCAAGTTAATAGAAATTACCAGCACTTTAGAATAACTGAGTGTTCCCCTCTCTTATATCCCATCTTTGCCCCCAGAGGTGCCATTATCCTGACTTATGTATTATTGTTTTAGTTTTATTTATAGTTATCATATATGAAGATATTCCTAAACAATACTTATTTTTGGGAAAAAAAAAAAAGATGCACCCAGCTGACTTAGGAAAGGGCAGTATTATTTTAAGCTTTCTAGGAGGGGACAGGTGGAATAGTCCAATAGCAAATTCCCTGAGTTTCATGAGCTCCTCAGATAATCAGTGGCATTATCATGAGTTAGTTCTTGGGGGGCCTAAGGCACATCCTGGTCTGGTGTCCAGCAGTGCTAGAGTATGAACTGGTAGAGCAAAGAGAATGTGGTTCTCAGGCTGGGGATGTATCTCAATTGGTAGAGTGCTTGTGTCCCATGCACAAGGCCCTGGGTTCAATCCCCAGCACCATCAAAAAAAAAAAAAAAAAAAAAAAACGAAAAAGAAAAGAATGTGGTTCTCTATTTTTTTTTCTCTAAGCTGGGTGGTCTTCTTTCAACACTTTGGAGAAGATCAAAGCAGACCACATTTTGGGGGTGAAATGAGTATTCTCATCTGATTGAGATAAGAGTCAAGGTGGAGTGAGTAGGTACATTGGAGTAAGCCAGGTATGGATAAAACGCTGGGATAGGCTTACTTGGGTATTCTGGACTTAGGAATGTCCGTGGTTACTTTGACAATGACAGCTCATCATGCTGTCTCATTGCTACCAGATGGAATGGTTGCATAGCGGACATCCTGGGATCTCTCTTTATAATCTTCCTGAAGATTCCTGCTGTCTTAATATCCTGTACCCAAAATTATCTTCCTTTAAAAAAAGTTTATTCTCTTTTTTAATGGGATGTAGTCATCAGTTGCATCTTGAGAAAGGATGGAAGGAAGGTAGATATTTTGAGGTCTGTCGTGTCTAAGAAAATATTTTTGTCTTATTTTCATAAGACAGTTTGGGTGAAGAATTCTAGATTGGAAATAATTTGCCTTCATAATTTTTAAGAAATCACTTCATTATCTTCCTTCTGATATGACTATTGAGAAGTCTGTGTTCTGCTTCTTTGTATGTAACCTGTATTTTTTTCTAGAATTCTATAGAAACTTCTTTATGTCCTCAATATTATGATATGTCACAGTAATATGCCTCAGTGTACCTACTTCTCTTAATTTTTTTCTCCTAGATTGTTGGTGAGTTCTATCAAATGGGCAGCTCATATTCTTTATCTCTAGAATTTTTTCTTGATTTATTTCTTAGATTTCTTTTCAAACCTTTTTTTGTTCATCTATCTGTCCTTCCTTCCTCCCTACCATTCATCCATTTCCTTTTTCTGTAACACTAGTTACTCAGATTTTGGACCTCCTTGGATCCTCTAATAATTGCTGTCTTGTCTTTATTTTCAGTTGCTTTATATTTTTATCAATTGCTCCTGGAGGGTGCTTCAATTTTATCTTCCCAGCCTCTATCTTTTCCCTCTCCCTAGAGGCTTTCCTTGAATGTCTAGTAAAGTTTGTCTGTCTGCTCATGATTAAAAGCAGGAGAGTAAAAAGAGGATTGGAAACTGGTTTAGGTGTGGTCTGATACCTGCAAATGTGCCTCTTGTATCTCAAAGATTCTCTTTGTTTTTCCCTGTCCACAAAGTCAGTCTTTGACTCACTGAGATGAAGGAGAGCTGGTCACCTAGCAGTCATGACGGAAGAGGGCTGGGTCTAGGGAACAAAGTGCTTTCCCATCAACTTCTGTGGAATCTTCCTTATTTTATCCCCTACTGTTTCCCTATAACCTGCTGCCTCTCCATTTCCAGGAGCAGTTGGTGTCCTAGTTTATTTTGTTATCAGCCTGTGATTCAGATTCGGCTTTCCTGGGTTGGCTAAACCTTCTTGTGCTCATCCATGTGCTTTTAGTCCTGTAAGATTTTGTTGCTCTTATCTCTTCTTTTTGTGAGTTTAGGCGAAAAATAAAGTCTTATACTGCAGTTTTAGTGGGCTTTCATGAGAGAGTGAAATTATATGCACATTTTTAATATATCATCTTAATCCTTAAGCTCGGGTTATTTAAAATGTTTTTGTCTCTTGAGATTTAAAAAGATTAAAGTTAGCCTTTCCATCTCTTTTTTTTCATTCATATTTATGATACACAAACTCATTGTGTGGGACTGTATGAACTCAAGGATTTGTAAGTGAATCCAGAATTTATGAATAAAAAAGTTGATTGTTTTTTAAATTTGCTCTTGTAGGAAAGTGAAAAGGTTTCTGAATACCCAGCAGTGATTGTGGAGCCAGTACCAAGTGCCAGATTAGAGCAGGGCTATGCAGCCCAGGTTCTGGTTTATGATGATGAGACTTATATGATGCAAGATGTGGCAGAAGAACAAGAAGTTGAGACCGAGAATGTGGAAACAGGTAGACATCTCACAAAATGTTCATTATTTATACTTTTCTTATTTTGTAAGCTTCAAGATTACTATTGCCAAATGAATCTTATTGAAAAACCTCTTTTAATACTCCTTAGTATAGCTTAGAAACCAGTGAAACAGCTCTGTTTAGGGGAATTTGAGTTCTACATTGTGATTCTTTGGGATAAAATAGTCTCATTGTAGAGTTTGCAGACAAAATTACAGCTCCATAAGCAAAATTGTTTTATTATTTTTTTCTGGGAATGAAAATACTCAACTAGTTGTTATTTACTTATAGAAGTCAATAGACTAGTGTATGAGAGTAACTTTTTTAATTAAAAAAATAAATATGATAGTCTCATTCTATAACTGATTAAGAGTCTTTGACTCAATGTTGATGGAGCAGTGTGAATTTTTTTCCTGTTAGGTCAAAAGTATCATTGTAATGGTCTGTCAGGTTCCTCTTTTTGTCTTCTTACAAATCTTGGTATCCATCTGTGTAGTAAAATAACTATATATATAACTTGAGATTAATGCGTATAATTCTTGGAGAATTATTTTTATTTTTACCATGACCAAATAATAGGGTATTTTCTTAGAAGGATTGTAGTAACTATTACATAATAATAAACATGAAAATTTATTTTAAACCAACTGTTATTGTTGAAAAAGAAACCTTACACTTGATTTACTACCCTAGTGAAATTTTAGAATATTTAGATACGTTTCTGTTAATGTAGCAAACTCTTATGATTAAAAGTATTTGATGTTTTTCTGCTCTGTGAGGCCCAATAGCAATCCCTAGGACTGCTAATTTTTCCTGCTTAAAGTTGTTCTCCCTCTTGTTTTATTTTTTGATGAGCTGACAGTTTGAGATAAAATGGTCTCTACGTTACCTTGCTCTTAAATTACCTTGCTCTTCAGAGCACTGATTATGACTGTTGCTAGCTTGCTGCTGGTGAAGTGCTAATCAGATCATTTTATCAAAACAAGGAGCCACACTCTGCATACAACCTTCATGACTACACCTGAGTGGGACCTGATTTACAGAAAAAAAACGATAGGTAGTACAGCTAAAGAGTATTATATAAAATGATATTCTGGAGTAAAATTAAAAAGAGTGGAGTCTGACTGTGCTGTCCAGGCTAGCTTTGAACTCCTGGGCTCAAGTGATCCTCCTGCCTCAGCCTCCCAAGTAACTAGAGCTAAACATTATTCCAGCCTCTGGAGAGGCACAAGTACTTTCCACTGTGTTTGACTCCAGATGTTATTAACTGTAAGCTGACTGTAAATGTTTAATTGACTTAAATTAATTCAGGTTAAAAACACTTTTTAATAGAAAGTGAATGTAAACCACTTAAGGGATTTAATTTTGTTAGTCTTCTTGAAATGAGGGTGATGATGTCATTTACAGGGTAGAGGGAGTGATTATGATATTTAAAAGGAAGATATGGGAAATCTGGGTCAGAGAACAGTTTTGTGATTTTTTTTTTTAAGAAGTAGTTGTTTACTACTTCATAATTTTTTTTTAGATTTATTTTTCTTTTATGCTAGAAAGGATGAAAGTACTTCAGAAGTTCAGCTTATACATTTAATTCCATTCTGGCTCATGAATTTTAATGTAACTTTATGAATATTATTAATAGTCATAGGTTAGTTTTTAAATCAGCAAATCTGGGCTTAATTTTGTTTCTATTAAAGAGTCACATTTGTAAATGAATTAAAATCTGAATAAATTTTCATTCTTCTGATATCTAGATCATACATGAATGGGTAAATGTTGTTATTACTTACTCTAATGTATATTGGCCATTTAGATAATGAATTGGGATCAAGTTAATTTCTCATGACAATAAAAGTTTTATAACTTAAATTCCAAATATATGTAGGTTTTAGAGAAGAAACTGGGAAGAAAAGGAAAGGAATATTTATAAGATGGAAGTTCTTATTTGATGAATTGGGGTAATTGAGATCTGACCTCTAAGAAACACTTCCTGAAATCCTTCTACTATAATTTAGGTTATATCAGTCTAAAAAGTGTTCACAGTTATATTTATAAACCTGATGTTATAGATCACTACATGTTCACATTGAAGTTTTTCTTTTATTCCTGTATACACATACATGTATGTTCATACCATAAACAGTGTTCTCATTGTTATTCAGGTAGGGGTTCTAAAATTATATAATGACTGGCATCTAGCCATCTTCATTATTTTGTGTATAAAAGTGTTTCACATTTTGTTAATGATAATTATGGGCTATTTTGCTGCTGCCACCCCTGACCCCCACCGTATTTTTTTTTTTGGTGGGGGGGCAGAGCTGAGGATTGATCCAGGGCCTTGTGCATGCTGGGCAAAATTTTACCACTGAGCTATATCACCATTTTTTTTCTTCTCATAGATTAAAAGTTTATTTTTTCCCTCAAATCACTTATTTGTAATACTAATGATCTCTTAAACTTTATAGGAAAACACAAATAATTTGAAATTTAAAAAATAGGTATATTCATCTAAACCTTTAAGAAATTATTTGTCATGTCAGATTTAGATTAGTAATCATCAGAGCCTCTGAGGAATGATTGTGAAATATGAAGGGGGATCGTGACTCTGACAGCCCTGAAATAACTTCGCCAGACACTGTAGACTCTACTGGTTCAGGGCCTGTTTGTAGATGAATGTGATGAGTGTTGGGAGAAGAGGAGTTTCTTGGATTCTTTACAGAGAGTTGAAAATGCAGGTTTTCATGTTCACATTATTAAAAATTACATAAATATAGATGTAAGTTTAATTGAATCTCAAGAGTTAGTAATTAAGCATATAAGGAAGTAGAAAGACTTGCAAGGTTTGGAGTAGAAAGTACTATGGAATTAGTATCTGAGTGGCTATAGGATGAATGGTAGGGGAAACTATGAGATAGGAAAAGTAGCTATTGTCAGATGAGTTGAGAAATAGTAAAACAAGGTAGCAGTAATAGGAACAGGAGAGACTTACATAAACAGTATGACTGTGAAGATTTAACAGTACTTGACATAACAGGTAAAGGAGGGGCCATAGTCAGCAACAGTATTTCCCTATTCTTTGACCAGAAGTGATGGCAATGTTATGTAGGGATTTGAGGAGTGCAAAACTGTTTGGGAAGCAAGTAAGTTTGTTAATAGTCATTTTGATTGTGAGTTGAAACAGAACATATAAGAAAGAATATTTAGATAATTAAAGATATATAAAGTGTGTAGTCAGGGTCTCATGACAAAAGAGCTGCCATGTTCAAGTTAATATAATTTATGGACTATTTTAATAAAGGACTAGTTAAGAACATATGGGTAAGCTTAGGGTGATCAGAAGAGAGACAGCATTCCTCCATAGCTAGAAGGAGCAGCTATTTCTGTCCTTTGGCTCAAGGGCTCAGGGGATGGAAGGACTGACTACTAGAATCAGAAGTAGCAGCTCTGGAGAAAACTCACCTTGGGAGATTCTGAAACCTTCATCAAAGGACACAGCTAGTTGGAGGGCAGTACCACACAAAGGGAACCTGGGATTAAGTGCTCTGATTTTCATTCTCCTCCTTCTCTGTAACCCCTGGCCAGAGCACTCCATTAACCAAAGCATTTCTGAAGCCACATGAGCCTTGTACATGAAGTCAATCTCCTGGGATAGAGAAATGTGGATAGTAGACCAGGAGGGACAAATGGAAGCTGTCTAATATAACTGAAACTTAGCAAAGTAAGGTCCAGGAGAGACTGATTTGGGCTTATCATTTGAAGCTGTGAGAAATCAATGAGATCTCCAAGAGAAGAGGTACTGAAGAGAGTTACCTATGGGAAGATACTTAGATTCTGTATTTGTTTCTGTGATAGAGAACAAGAGGACAGAGAATTAATTAATTAATCTTAGGGATTAATTAATCCCCCCACCTTAGGTACCAGGGATGGAACCCAGGGCCTCATACATGCTGGGTAAGCACTCTACCACTGAGCCACATCCCCAGCCCATGGGAATGCTTATATTTTGGAGAACAGGAAGAAGAGTCAAAGAGTAATCAAATATAGAAAATCTTGGGTAACTATTTCTGAGTTTGGTCCCCCCCCCAACCCACCCTCCCACCTTTTAAGTAACTTTCTTCAGTAGGAAAGGGAAGAATATTATTGATTCTGGTTAGATAGTTCCAGGTTTAGATTTCTGCTTTGTCACTTAATTGGCAGCTTTTAAACTTTTCAGAGTGTTTCTCTGTCATAAAATAGGAATTCGAGGTTGTGAGGATTCCATAAAATAAATACTTGAAACACAGTGCTTGTGACGTAAAAGTTCCCTTGCCTTGATTCCTGCCTTTCTGTGTGCCTTAAACACAGAACATTTGTTTAACTTTGTTTACATCTCTGTTGTCTTTCCTCCTTTCCTCTTACTTCCATGTTTTAAAAAGGCAAACATTTTATGCCTTTCCTCTATACTTTTTCCTTATCATTCATCCCTTAAGTTATTGTGCTCTGGCATCTACACTTATTTTCCTTAAGCACTTTGTTTACCAATTTTCAAAGCCCACTCCTTTACCAAATTCAGTGGTTCAAGGAAACATCCAGAAGTAGATGCTTCATCATAATCTGGCCTTCTTATCTGTAGAAACACTGTAGCCTCCTGGCTCTTTTCCTTACTGCCTCTGGCATGGACTGTGCTATTTATTTATGCTTTAGTTTCCTTTATTCATAACATGCTCTGGTATCATCTTGATCTGCTCAGCTGTGTGAAACTTTCCACAACTATTGTGGCCTACATTAAACATTCTCTTTTCTGATTGTTATGCCATCTGGATTTAGGTACTTATATTTTTCTTGCATATACTCTTTTGTTTTCCCTGTGAGTATATAAGCACCATGAAGATGAAGGTCATATTTTTTTTTCTATTTGAATGTAGTGTTGAAAATTGAACATATAATAGCTAGTTAGGCAATACTGAAAAATTGAATCCCTCCCGAATTTGATACTAGGGATTAAACCCAGGGATGCTCAACCA